AGCAAGGTCAAGTTTTCTGTATACATCAATCACAGTGTAGCAAGAAGAGGTGTTAATGATTACTTACATCTACTCTAGTCACGTGCCACTTCAACCTGTTGATGATTACTATATCTACCTCAATCACGTGTCACTCAACTTATATAGCTTTATCTTAGATAGATAATATACATATTAGAACATTATTCTTCAACAGATTATAAGACTCTTTTTATAACTGCTGATAACACATCAATCTCATCTTCATATATCATTGAATGTGTCTAGATATCTCTTTGAACCTATGATTAATTTGAGATCTGATAGAACAACAGATTTAACAAATAAATACATACTGTGAAGACAATGAAATTCAGAAGCACTGAAAGTGCAACAGAGAACAACAGTTCATTTGATAATATTTACAATAAATGACTCAGATAGAGATTTTGAAGACCTGATTATTAAATATATTATCAAGATGTTAAATAACAAGAATAGTCAGTGTGACTGTAATATGAATTCTGTAAATGAGTTGACTTGTATGAGATTGAAGATAGTAAAACTTTAATATGAAATTGAATAGATGAAAGCTAGCAGAGCTAATAAGACTTTAACTAGTAGTGATGACACTGTCAGTGTGAATCTGACAGAATTTTTATAATAGTAAGAATGAACATCAGCTCTGATAAAGATTCTGAGAGAGTTTTAAGATCATGTTAAGCACATCAGAAAGCCTGTTATTCTCACAGACTCTGAGAACTATTTAATGTGAAAGAAAGAGATCTTATTAACTACAAAGCAATTTCACACAGTCAATATCATTAATAAGAAGCAAGTCAGTCTCATGAAGAATGTGAGTAATAATATACAATGATTTTGAAAAGAATGTAACATGTAACTGTATAATTATATATAATCTGTGATTACTTCACAGATAAAATCTTATTTTACAGTACTAAAGAAATCTAAGCTATCTGTCTACACTCTGTGAAAAGTTATAGAGGAGAATTTCACTGAAAGACCTGCTGTTAAAAGAACAAGATTGTATAGAAAAATTATAACTCTATCTATTAAGTCAAAGAAATCAGATTATATCTTTATTAAATATTTAATTATTATATGAACTGAATATATACATCTAGAATTTAAGGCTGAGAACTACATGTTTTTTAACTGTCTGCTCACTGAAGTGAGTGAGATATGAGTATTATTCATTAGAAACTGAATGAATCAGATTGATAAGAATAATAGTCAATCTTTTGAAACTGACTTTATAAGTCTTTGTCAAGATATCTTGCTACATCTTCTGATAATAAGAGAAGCTTCAAAGAATGTGATGATAAATGCAACTGATAACAAGTAAGAATTGAATAAGAAAAGAAACAATAATGATAATTTCAGACTTAGAAATGAAATAAAAACATACTATCACTGTCAAAAAGTCAGTCATACTCAGAATGATTATTGAATGAAATACCTGGAAAAACATTCTTTCACTATTAATAAGAAGAATAAGAATGAGAATAATAATAACACAGATACTACTTCTATTCACAGTATTATAAAACAAATGTTCTATTTAAAAGATGAAACTTATTCAAATAATAACTTAATAAAGAATACTTGAATATTGAACTTCAGATCAGATGCTTATATCACATCTTATAGAGATCTTATTGTGAGAAAAAAGAAGAATGTTACATTATCATTGATAATGATGAATGAAGTCAAAGTCTCTGTTATAATAGTCAAGAATACAAGCATTTCAGTTAAAGAAACAAATATGATATTAAATGATGTCTGTTATACCTCAAATTTGAAAGTTAATCTTATCAGTCTAAGCAAGCTTGTACAGCAATGATACACTTTTAAGCAATTAATATATAGAAATAATCATACTATATTACTAATATCTTCTGACAGAATGTTCTCATTTACTATGAGATTAAATGATAGAGATATCTATGAGTTGAAGAAGCTGATAATATACAGAGATCTGATTTATTTTCCTGCATCTGATGATAGTTTCACATCTGCAAAAGTAAAACTGACACATCTGTGTCTGATCTTTGCATCTATGAAAAGAATTATAAAGAATATACTCACTAGAAGAGATACATCTATGAAAAGAATCACAAAGAACATACTCACTAGAGAGAGTGCAAAATACTGACAAGAAACAAGAGACAATGCTGCCTGCTATGAAGAAAGCAATCAATCTAGAAAAAGAGAAATCTCTGGCACAAGAACTGCATCACATCAAGATAGAGTATCATATTCTCTGAGATTTGATTGAAACAGAATATATCATGATGAAACATGATGGTTTCACAGCTGATATAGCTGATGACCTCACTAAGCCATTGACAAGACCAGCATTTGAGAAGTTTGTTGAGAAGATTGATTTGAAAGAGATTAAGAGAGACTAAGGTAATGATGATACAGTGTATTAATGAATTTTCTGTGTATCTGTTAATTTTTACAGTTATTGCTGTACAGATGCTTTTCCTAATAAGGATTACTACATCTACCCCAATCACGTGCCACCCAACTTATATATATTTAAGTGTAACTCGCGTAGTTAGATTACAACACAACAACGTTATCCTCCAAGATCATGATTATGTAACAAGGTCAAGTGGCGCACTTAGCGAGGTCAAGTTTTCTGCTCCCTGTAATTTAATCTACATATAAGGAGCCGGCGTAGTTACGCCTGTAATCTTACGCTGGCTCAAGCAACCTTTGAATCACACTTTGTAAAGGGATTTAAGGCCTTTCTTCTTCGACCGCCATCTACTTCGGCCGCCATCTACATCGACCGCCATCCATTCCGGCCGCCATCTACTTCGACTGCCATCTATTTCGACCGCCATCTATTTCGACCGCCATCCATTCCGACCGCCATCCACCTCGCCCGCCATCCTCTTCACCAGCTATCCTCTTCGTTCGCTATCCATCTCGGGTGCGAAGGATGGCATGTGGACTGCGAGAAGTAACAAAAGGTAGCAGCTTAGCAATCGCTCCAGAGCAATACCAGAGTTTAATTCCACGTCGACAGATCGCTTGCATGGCTCAGGCACCACCTCGATAGCCAATAGCGTGCGGGCGATGTGACTTGGTGTTAAGACACCCACACATGGGCCAGTTATCAAGTGTGTTTGATCAATAATACTTATTCAAGCTTCGCTACCTTCGCTACCATCAGTTAATTTTTTCTACATTGCAGCAGTGGCGTTCATTGCATGTTAAACCTACCAATAACACCAGGCCACGTCCTGCAGAGAAGTCATTTGCAAACATTGGAGAAAAGCATGTTCTTGCGATCTCTATTAGACAATGAATTGACATGTTGTATTGGACACAGTACTCCGCATCTTTTCAAGCACTAACTTGGACTTACGTTTATTCGAGACCATTATTATCATTCCTGCTGATCTAGTTCACCAACTATGAAAAGGTGTATCCTTGGCTATTTGAGAGCAAGGAGCAAACCTCCCAAGCCCATGCCCCCTCTTACGATGGCGACAGCTGCAGCCGATCGTTCAAAAGTGAACAGGCTCTCGAGCAGCACATCGAAAGCTCCCCAGCCCATGCTGCCTCGTACAATTGCGACAGCTGCAACCGATCGTTCAAAAGTGAACGGGCTCTCGGGCAGCACATCGAAAGCTCCCTAGCCCATGCTTGCTCGTCCATGTATCCAACACACCACGGCGGTGTATCACGCTTGCTGGAAGAAGAGGGACTTTATTTCACCTTCCATGACGTTGACGACTCTGCAGGCTGTAACAGAGAGTACGACACAAACATCAAGGGTTGGTTCATGTGTCGCAACAGAACCTGTGCCTCTCGTGGATGGTCAAGCAAGAGAGTTGCCATCACTATACGAATGTACCCCGGAGCGAAGTACAATGCAAGGGTATATCACCAACGCTGCGAGGGCTGCAACGATCTTAGCCGACCACGCCTAGATGGGTCATATGCGGAAAGAGTCGCATACCGTATCAAAAAATGGTGCGGGATACAGATGGATATGTCTCACTATTCATCTAAAAGCAAAGGTTCTCACATTAGTGACCTATGTGAAGGATGCAGAGATGGCCATTGCAGTGCACTTCAGCTAGAAGGCGATTAGATAGCGTGGCAATGGGGTTTGATCTTGAGCATGGAACATGGGTTTCACAACTGAAAAGGTTCGAAGGGGGACAGGACAGTAATTTGTGATTCCTTCGATTAATACTTGTATACACTAGGTTGGTTTGAATGTGTATAAACCTGTGCCTACAACTAGCCGCAATTAATCGAATCCCGAATACTTTGCTTCTTTACAATTCAGCGGGGCCGCCTTGGCGTCGAAGCTATGCCAAGTTCGGACCCGCTTTGACATGGGGGAACTTTCATCGACATATTCAGATTGTATTATGATTGGCTCTTTTGGGCGGGGAACAGATAAGCCCACCTCTCTCTCTTTCTGCTTGAACGACCGAAAGGCGAACTCATTGAAAGCACCAAATCCAGCTTCATCGTCCCAAGGTATCAGTCTTGAGATTGAGCAGTACCAAAGCAAAAGCGAGAAGCAGATAATTATTGAGCAAGGCATCCTAGCAGGCCAACCCTTTTGCATTCTTAATGCCCAGAAGGCGACCACAACCGTCAACACCGGAGGACTTGCCAGATCCGCCTTCTGATTCTGAAAAGAAAGAATACTATGTTGCGGGAGACAAAGTTTACTTTGTCCTTCGCGGCGGTAGGTATGTGCCTTCGTTGCTCCCTCAGCTTCAGTCCAGGCTAAGTTGTAGTAGATAGTGAATGGCGAATGGGGAGCATCAGCAACAAGACATTCAGCACCCTAATGGCAGTTGTATGTCAAGCAGAAGCCCCTGATTTTATACATAAAACTGAACATATCTAGGTTATCGATGACGAGACAGAGGACGAGGAGAACGTTCGTACGGAATACATCCGCTTGAGGAGGTCATAAAAATGGAAGGTGCAGGATTTTGGGGTTGGTGTTGGAAGATTCAGTGATACATAGCTTGGAGGTCCGCCAGGCTTCGGTCAATCCACTTCCACAAAGTCCTGTTGGCTTTGAATGCGGGGCTTTCCGCTCTGAGTGCTAAGGAGCCTGGCTGACTGTACCGTGAAGACCATTGTGAAATAAGAGTCAATTTTCTAGCAACAGTCAAATCAACTTGAGACCTCCGATCAAAATGTTTCTTTTCTGCCACCCTGGAGTAATCATCATCTCTCTTCAGAAGCGCATGTATCTTCCCATAATCATCCCAGGCCTGTCTTGTTTTAAACTCCATCAGAAGTTGACCCCCGGTGCTGTTGACGGTCACCCAGAGTTCATTTAGCAGGGAAAAATCCACGACCGTATCGAAGTTGAGAATATGAGAAAGCAACCACATGGGGCGGCTATGTTGCAGGACTTGGCAGAGGAGAGCTCTTCTCTTCGGATTGACATCTGAAGCATTGTACACTGCTTCCCGAAAGCCCCGCTGAAATTGCTCTCGAAGTTGTTCTGACAGCTCGTTTCGTGATTGAGGGAGTCCAGGCTCTGTGATGGCCACTGAAAGAGGCACAGACGAACAGAACGCCCAGTCGATAACACATGTAATATTGTATTCCTCATCAACAAAGATATTGTTCACGCTGATGTCCGGGTGGTGCAATGAGTAATGGCACGAGTCCTCCTTGAAGGATGTGTCTCTGACCCATTTTTTCCGCATGTCAGCAAGTAGGTCACTTACGATCATATAATCTGTCCGATTATCAGAACCATCAATTTTGGAATGTAGCGTGACAAAATCATGCCACCGGTCGCGGGAACGCTCGAATTGAGCGTCATCCTCATAATCCTCTGGTAAAGGAAATGGTGCAAAGAAGCAGCGCGGGTTGAGAGGAAGAATGCTGGCATGATCTTGCAGCGCTGAAATCAACGCTCCGTAGAAGTCAATGGTGGAGGTGAAGGGGCCGCGGTTTAGATCAAGTGTGTGCCTCTCGTGCACCAGTAATCCCCTTGTCAAGCATGTCTTGATCACCGGACCATGTACGCTTTCAAAAAGCGATCCAATCTGGTCGAATTTAAGTTGGCATAACTGCAACGTAATAGATCCAAGCTGGCGGAGAATTTTTGCCTTGCCATTCCAGGACATATGCGTCCAGTGAAGCCGAAGAGGGCATCCAGGTGCTTTGCTCATCAAGATGTAGGGCACCCCTATTTCATTCTCCTTGGAACAACTTTGTCCATCAGTTTTGATAAGCATGAAACCCTGGGTTAGGACATTCGAATCACCTGTATGCAAAGACCTCAGGAACAGCAATCGAGCTATGAGATCGGATATATTTGAGCGTGATAGCTTCACTCTCCAGCAGCATAGAGTTTGTTCGAGGGCACGGAATAGCTCCATTCTCGTTTAGTGGTGATCTCAATAGCCACTCCACTCCATCAGTAAAGAGGATGGAGATCGCCCAGTTCAGACTACCATACACTGGAGCTTGAGATGCATCACAGTCACAACTAATTCCGTCGCGAAGGCGGCTGGCGAGGAAACAGAGAGCATCAACATTGAATCTGGCGAAGCGGAATATTTTCGGACGTTGATTAGCTGATGGCATCTTGAGAATCCTGAAGAGTCGGAAAGTAATGGCATTTGCCAGCCGACAAAACCATTTTGACCTCAACCCCGGTTGAAAGATTCTCCGAAATCCCAGGTGTGACAAAAATTCTCGGCAGTCGTCACCATTCATAGACAGCCATTTTATGTTTCTCTACAACGGAAAAGTGCATTTAAATACTGCCGGACCTTCATCCTATTCTCCTGTTACATAACAAAAGCTATAGCGATCATCCAAGCCCTACTTGACCTAGTCCTGAACATGCATCGAGACGAAACAGCGGGTATCCTACCGGATTATTCCTATTGATAACTATGACGAGTGTGTAGAAACCCTGTACTGACTGACCAGCTGCCGACAACAAGAACATGCTGCTGATCTAGCTACATAAAATACATAAGGCTCGATACCTTGCATGATTGGTATCTTATCCGTACACAGAGAAATGGTGAGGGAGATTGGTCTACCAGAGATTGTGCACGATCTGTGAGGGGCCACTCCAGGTCTGTATGGAACCTTCGCGTTTACAATTACCACGTTGACTGCTAGGCTAACTCCACATCGATTGGGAGTTTGGCAATGGATGGCTCCTGCTTACAGTAGCCACGCGAGTACTTGCATGGGTCGCAGGCCGTTCAGGCATCCGGTATTTGGGGGCACGCGTAACGGTGCCATGCGCGACTTCTGCATGGATGAGAAGGGCGGTTAGGGTCTCCAGTCTCACTCGGCAGATCCCACAACCCATTGGCTGGAACTTCTCGAGATGTCGCCTTTGATAATGCTTGGTGAGGTCCCCTGGTGTCTTGAAGGAGTAGACCCGATCTGCAGGCAGAAGGTTAGAATTCTGCAGGCAGAGGAAGCAGATTTTTGATCGCTTCTTGGACCGGCGGGCGGGATCAATGGCGGTCGAAGTGGTGCAGACTTCTCGAACCACTGCACTGATGCGCTCGTTCCATGATGGGGTGCGGATTCCTTCTGGCTCAGCTGGTGTTGATGGCGCGGGGGTTGGTCGAGTCTCGCGGAAACGCCGACGGCAGAGTGGGCCCTCCTAGACCCCACTGTATGCAATGATGGTGTTTACGGCCTTGATCCGGCGCTGCAGCTCCGCTGATGGAGTGGTCGGTGGCAGTGTCAGCACCGCATCACACATGGCCATCAGCTCCACGCTCATTCAGTCCGAACATTCCATTGCGTCCTTCACATCTTCGTCGATCAATTTTCCGGACAGTTGTTGGGCGATGTCCTTCAGCGGCTGTTCTTCTCGGTACCGTTCCAGCATCTCGCGCTTCAGCTGGAGCCTTGCGCGTTGCTTCTCGCTGCGAAGCCGGCGAACTGCCCGGTGATGTTTGTCATCCGTACTCTCATGCTTGTTCAGTTTCTTGCGGTACCTTTCTGCTCCAGGCCGGCCCATCTTGAAGCGTTGCTTGTACCTCTCGCCAGTTCCGCCTCCGAGCCACTTTGCGGAGCGGTCAACATGCTTCTTGAGGCGCGTAACCCGCTTCGACAGAGCGAGGATGCGCGGCTGCTCATTGACTGACTTTGACTGCTCGGGCGTCAGCTTCCAGGGTCGCCGGGGGTCAATGGATTGAATCATCGAGCAGATCCGCTTCAAGAGCGCTTTCCGTGATTCGTCTATACAGTGATCTAAAGACGAATCACGGAAGGTTTTCATAACATCAACATTGATATTCCGATCTAGATAGTATTTGAGGTACATATCGATCTTCTGGTGCTGGAGCATCAAGTTCTGTAGAGAATCGCTGACGTCCGCTGCTTGGATATTAGAATATTGAGCGAAAGGAAAGGCAGGGTGAATGGTGATACTCATCACTCTCATTCCACTCCTTCCCAGCAGCGCGACGGAGCGCGTACGGGCCCACAGGATACTCAAAGCCAGTGATCTCGCCGCACTTTTTCATTCGATTCCGCAGCGATGCCGTAGTCGCCTTGATCTCATGCGCGATTCGGACGCCCTCTCCCTCGCGGACCACCTGGCAGAAGAGAAAGTTCTCCGCCAGGTCATCTCGCAGTGGGATCTTCTGCTCATTGAGCTCGTCCAGAATGCCCAGATCGTAAAGGTCCTCAGGGCACCGGATGTAAGGGGACTTGAACGCCTTGGCATGGAACAGCAGTCCCAGAAGGAAGACATGGGGGCTGAGCACCAGAGTCGGGTCATAGATGATCTCAGGGAGCCAGAATGTGTTCCTGTGCACGTCAGTCTCCGCACCGCAGGAAGGGGTGGAAGCCGGCCTTACGCATCCTTGTCACCCAGATACGCCTTGGTGAACTCGCCGGTCAGTCCGATGAACAGGGTCGCTAGATTCGAAGCCGGGTCCCTGACTAGCGAGAGCTCCAGGTGTCGATAGCGGAGCTGCGTCAGTGCTTCCGGTCGATGTCCCGTGTATCCCGCAAGTTGACAGAACAAGATCAACTGGATGCGCTCCCAGCCGACCAGGAAATGCATATCAGTTGTAGTCAGAAGCACGCGGAGGTACTCAGCCAGGTCCTCGACATACATGGTCGCTTTCAGTCTCTTTTCGCGGCTGAGCTTCTTCTCGTCGGCGACAAGGTTGATCACATCCTGCGCCTGTTTCATGATTAGGGGGTCAATATCATTGCCGTTGTCCTCCTTGTAGACCTGCGAATACTGCTTCCAGAACGTCTCCAAGGAACTTATGTTTTTGATACCCGACCGCCTCCTCCCGTCCTTACCGCGACGCTGGTCGCACGCCCAGCTGAAGAAGGCTTTGAGAGATTGGATCGAGAGGGTGCGGTACGCGTGGGACACATCTCGGTGCATATATTCGCAGAACCTGTTTTGCCCCGTAGTTAGCAGGTCTGGTCGGAGCATGTTGTGCCTGTACTGCAGCATACTCACCGCTCCCAGTGGTCGCGAGCTCTATCCTTGCCGTAAATGGTGCTGTCCTTATAGAGGCGCTCCCGAAGCTTTGAGGGATCAAGATTGGCTTCCTCCGCCGCATAGTGTTCGGGAGGGGGGAGCTTGTAGTCATCCCACTCCTCATGACTGTCCTCGCTATTGCTGCTGTCATCGCTGGAGGTCTCCCCAGTCACATCCGTGTCGTAATCATCGACGCAGTCTGAAAATAGACCGCCATCATCACTGTAATCTGGATCGGAGTCTGAGACCTCACAGCACACATCCATGGTGGAGCCAGCCATCATCATGGCGAATCAGTGTAGAAGCAGTGCTGGTCCTTTGCTGGAAGAGGGCCGACAGTGCCAGGTGTAGAGCGACGGCAGAGTGAACAGTAATAAGAAGATTGTACAGATGACAAGCTGTAGAACAGCGCAACAGAAAATTATGAAGAGACAGCAGAGTTCAGAGCTTGCAAAAAGAATAAAGATGAAAGAGAGTCACCATTCCCCTCCTGCGGAAGAAGGACGGGTGACTGGCGGGTGATTGAGCACCCATTTTGAATCTGCACGAACCAGCGGCCGCCTGCAAGCAGGGCGAGGAACCGAAAATAGACCGCACGAAGTGGAGCGAGAGCAGCGGCAGCATTGGCATCTGGGGCGCTGGGTCGCTGTGCGAGAGATCGAATCCATCTTGAGTCCCGTCAGCGTGGATGGTGGTGGCCTTCGACGCGTCACCACACTCTATAGTGTACTCTCGCGGGTCCATCAAGGTCATCCGCGGGTGAGTCTCAGTGAGCATCTCAAAGGGGGTTTTACCTGTACTGGCATGCTTTGAGTTGTTGTACACAAACTCCACAAGTGACAATCAATACACTCAGTCATCCTGATTGTAATTGACAAAGCACTACAGATACTGTTCTAATATACTCATTAGACATTCTGTCTGATCATCTGTCTGCTGATGAAAAGCTGTGCTTAGATCTCATGAGATCTTCAGTATAGTCATCAGATCAGATCAGAACTCTCTCACAAAGATTGATTCTCTGTCTGAGACAATGTTCACAGACAATTCATGTAACTAAATCACATTGTGAATGAAGATATAAGTCAAATTCTTTGACTTTAAGTTCTTACAGATGAGTATAAAGTGTGTTATCTTGATAAAACAATCTATCATTATCAGCACACTGTTAAAGAGAACATTATATATATTCTTACTTTCAGAAAGACTTATAAGAGTGTTTATTTCTAGCTGTTTTCAAGATTTTTATAAGATGAGTAGAGAAGTAAGTTCTTTATATAATTTAAACTACACTATTTATAAACTCTGATAAATAGTATAAGAATTCACTATCTTCTTTATATACTCTTGTATCTTCAATCAGAAGTATTTTCTTATAAACAACTTATAAGCTCTAGTATTTATAAAATAACTTATTAGAGAAGAGTTATAATATCTTTTAATAAGTTCTATATATAGAAACTTATTTATAGATATATAAATCTAACTCTCTCTTTATAAGAGATTATTTGAGTCTCTTTAATTCTTTATTTCTGTAGAATTAATCTCTGCTGTGAGTAGATTAACTGATAAGACTAGACTGACTATGTAACTGTATCTGAGATCAGAATTAAACTTTATAGTTATTATATTATCTAAAAGCATTACTTCTGATTATGATTTATATTCATTATATTAATTTCAAATTATATTATTTTAAATATTGAAGATCTCAGATTCACTTTTCAAATAAAAATCTAGTCTTAAATAAAGAATATATTTGAATTCTTAGTCATATTTTCATTCTGATCTTATTATTGAGAATGATATTAAATAAGATTATGAAATTATTTCTCACTTATATAATATCATAATATAATACTCATTTGTTGAAAATTTAATAGAGAGTGTTATTAAATATTATTACTTTTCTGAATACAGATTATAATTTATATAATTTTAATTATAAAAAAAATAAAAAATAAAAAATAAAATAAAAACAAGAAAAAATCACAATAAAAAAAAAGAGAAAGAAAAAAAAATAAAAGAAAAATAAAAAAAAAATAAAAAAAAATCAAGATTGTAAAGCTACAGTATTCTTAAAATACTTACTTCTCAGAGTCTTTATAATGTTTCTTATCAATTATATATTTCTCATAGTGAGAATAACACAGCTGTGATAAGTTATTATCTTAATATTATCTACTAAATAATCAGTATATATCTGTATAAATATGAATAATTAGAAAATATACACTTAAAAAGTGTGACTAGAATGAACTCTGCTGTCACTTGAATAATATTAAGAATAGAATACTGAAATTGATAATTTCTCTCATTGATTTCATAGATAAGATATATAAAGATAATCTTGAGAAATATAAGATTTCTCAACTTCTGATAAAAATAAATCTCATGAAGAGACTCTATTTTTATAATATTAGAGACTGAGTATTATTAAAAAAGTGTTACTTTTATATAATATATATACACTTACTGCAGTGATTCACTCTCTGTATATATAACTGAGAATTACAGCTTTTTCACACTGTACAGCTCTTTCTGAAATGCTGCTACTGATTTGTAATTCACACAGTCTCTCAGTTCAGTATACACTGCATGTATACAGCTCTGTATACTGAGACTGTGTTGATTATTATAATCTGATATGATACTCACTTTTCACAGATCATGTTCTATTTAAGAGAGAAAAGAGAGAAAGACATGACTATTATTTTATTAAGAAAAGAATGAATAATTAGTATTATTAAATGTAATTTAATTTATCTGTATTTAAAATTTGATTAGTCTATACTCTTCAATTTAAGAGTTTCTAAGAGTATTTTAATAGTTTTTATATTAGCTTGAACTTAGTGATGAGTTGAAGAAGAAGAGAAAAGAGAGAAGAAAGAAATAAGAATAACTTATCTTTATAATATAAAAACAGAGAATCACTGCAATTATTCTCTTTAGTATTAAAGATCTGATTTCTGCATGTATTTCTGATATAGATTATATAATAACTGTATATAAAGAATATTAATAGTGCATGTATTAAATGAAGATAATATTACTATATAATACTGTAGCTGTTTCTGTACATCTCTGAAAGCTGTTAATAGTTTCTTTAAGTCTCTTTATATTTAGTAAGTTAATAATATATTCTGATACACTTTTTCTTTTATTATCATTATTATTATCATTATTATTATTATTATCAGTATCATTACTATTATCATTATCATTATTATTATTATTATTATTATTATTATTATATTATTACTAGCTGTCTTCTCTATCTTCACTCTCTCTTAACACTTATTAAAATTAATTATATTATTTCTCTTTAAATATTCTGCAGTTCTGTGAATCATCAAGTCATATAAGCACTGTCACAGATTGAAGAGAGAGAAGAAGAAGATATTTAAGTAAGAGAAGACAGATTATAAGACATGTTATAATATCTTAAAGAGACTCTGTAAGAGAGTAGAATAATAATAATTTTAAGTAACACTTCTGATAGATTTAGACTGAACTAAGAATAGAAATAATATGAATAACACTGCTTATAAGAGATTGAAAAAGAAGATAGTGAAGAGTCTTATATAGTAGTAGTGAGATCAGAAGAAGTTCTGAGAATGATTTAAGATTAAAATAAAGAGAGAGAGAGAGAAAAAGAGCATTACTATAAATAAACAGTAGTAGAAGAAGATTAAGAGAGTATTAAAGTAAGAGATAAAGAAGTCAAAACTGATAAGTTTTTTATTAAGAGATAATAATTTTTAATAACACTTCTGTTCTCTAATTGATTAGTAGAAGCTGACAGAGAAGAAGAAAATTAAGATCTTATTCAGATCTTAAATGCACTTCATAATTTAAAATATTGAGAAGACAGCTCTGCTCTCTGAGCATGTTAATCTGCTTACTGCTGAGATGAAACCTGAGATAGTAGATCAGAAAATACAGGATTTTAAGATACAGATTAATCTGATTAAGAGAGAGTAGTAAGAACTCTTCTCTAAAAAGACAGTAGAGAGAGATTTTAAAATAATTATTATCTCAGATAAGAAGAAGAAGAAGAATAAGAATAAGAAGTAAATTATAAAGAATAATAAGAAGAATGAGAAAGAGAAGAAAGATAATAAGTAGAAAAAGTTTTTTCCTTTTTATATTAGTTAGTTATAAGTTTGTAACTATTAGTTCATAATGCCCCGGTGACTGAATGGTTAATGCAGCCACTCAGTAGCGCCTTGGCGTGGGAAACCAAGACACATGGGTTTGAAACCCGCAGGGGATATATTAAATCCAGAACTCAAGCATCTCAGATTTCTAATAAATACAGAGATGTACAAATCACTTCAATAAATTGCTCTATATTCCTGAGCTGAGAAGTTATTATTGCATGTATTTAATTGTCACTTCTTTGTATTTTTCTATGTTCTTGTTCTCTTGACATGATCTCAACACCTGTATTTCCTCCTGTATAACTAACACTTGACCTGTATTTAACATCACGCAAGGCTCATTATTAGCTCCGCTTGCATATAAGTATAATGAAAATAATAATAATAATAATATTAGTTAATAATTGAAATTAATTTTAAGTTTTCAAAAATTATTGTATAAGTTGTAATCAATTATCAATATCAGAAATAATATATATATATATATTTAACTATTATGATTTACAAATCACTATAATGTATAAGTATCAACATTTTTTCAATATTAATATTTATAATATTAATATATTTTTAATAATATTATCTGATAATGCAATTTGATAACACTCTCTTTTATAATATTAATATATTTTAAGAAATATAACAGAGATTAATTAAGATTGTTTATTTACTTTTATACATTAATAATATTTAATCTGAGTTAGTACTAAAATTATAACTAAGTTAAGAAAGAAGATTATTTTCTCTTATATTAATTCTTCTTATACATATCAGTGATCAGTTATTGAAAATAAATTATTATCTTTCTTAAATTATTATTATATCTTCTGAATACACTTCTTTCACTTCTTTTACTTCTATTGAAGATTCACAAACTTTTTAAGAAATCACTGTGAATTACAAAGTCTATATTATTTATAATTCAACACAGAATACTCTCTTTCAATTATAATAAATAATTACTTCATTCTTCATAACTGATTTCAGGTCATGAAATTTATGAAAAACTCAACACAAACACTGAGATGAACTATAAAATAATTATTAACAGATTGTATTACAGATTACTGAAGAGTTATCTCTCTGTTATAATTACTATAACTTTATTTAGAAATATTTATTAT